AGATGAGCGCTCAAGGTCAGGGAAGCCCCGCTGAGGACAGTGCAGGCCCCAAACGGAAATCCAGCGTCTGTCCTTCCCAGCTGAAATTCAGTCTCTGGCTGAGCCAGCCCACTTAGCCCTCCTGAGACTGACTTTCTTTGGAGTCATCCTCTTGCCCATTTCTGTCTCTATTTGCTAATTAAAAATTCATAATAAGTTCTGGCCAGGGAAGGCAGAGTGAGGAAGGATCTGGCTGCCTGGCCCTCTGAAAAATTTTGGAACCTGGGGTTCAGAGACCCATGAAACACCTTACCCCCACACAGTACCCCTTCCTGCATTTCCGGAACAGTCTCTGCTGCTTCCTCCTCACCCTGGGAGGCAGGTGACTTCACCTGCTACTCACCCAGCCCACCCCCACTGGCCCCAATTCTGGCTCGAATCCTTAACTTCAGCCTTTTGCTGGGATTCAGTCCAGGAGGTGAGCCTCCTGGCTACAGGCTGAGACAGGCTGGAGGCTACAGGGCATTGGAGACAGCACAGGCTTGCTTGGTTGGTGAGGATGCCAACTCTGCTGTGTGACCTTGGGCAAGCTGCTTGCCCTCTCTGAGCCTCAGGTGCCTTGTCTAGGGAAACTAGTAGTCCCTCTGTACTGGGCCACTGTAAGGATTGCAAGAGAGGATGGTCAGGTGGCATGGACACGGGTCATCTCCCTTCTCATACTATGCTTGGAGCCTTGCATGCTAGATCAGAGACTTTTCTCACTTTCCCAACTTGCTTTACTCATGAGGGGCTTCTAAGAGGAAATTATAGCCATGACTCCTACTTGTGGGGAGCTTACAATCTAATAAAAGCAACCTATTGTTGTTCTTGTGGCCTCGAGTTGGTTCCGACTCATAGCAACCCTGTATGGGGTTTCCGAGGAGCAGCTGGTGAGTTTGAACCTCAGACCTTGAGGTCCAAACTGACTTTGCAGTCCAGCGTATTAACCCACAGCTCCATACCAGTACTCCTCAGGCAACCTGGAACCTCAAAATAGAAACTTCCCAAAATAGTGCGGTCTGCAAGCTGGTCTCCCCAAGCTGCTTGGATCCGGAGAGCCCTGATTCAAATGCCCAGTGGCTCCCTCCTGCCTGAAGCCTCTAGGAAGTCACCTTCCCAGTTCTCAGGGCGGTGGTCAGCGAAATGTACTGAAATGGTCCAGGATGGGTTAAGGTTAGCAGTGGCGATGCAAAGGATTCCAACTCCTGTGGAGCCCATGTGCTGCATCCTAGAACACTTACGGTTTTCATTCGCAGGTGGCTAAAATGGCTAGGGCTCTATCAGCTGAAAAAGGAGATGGGGAGTGAAATGGTTAAGCACTTGACTACTAACAGAAAGTTCCGTGGTTTGAACTTTCCGTGGCTCGGCAGGGGAAAACACCTGGCCATCGGCTCCAGGGAGGATTCCACGCCATCGGGTTGATCCTGACTCATGATAGAGTTTCCCAGGGTATAAATCTTTGTGGGGCCAGAAAGCCTCATCCTTCTCTCACGGAGCGGCAGGTGGGTTTGAACTGCTGGCCTTACGATTAGCAGTCCAGTGCTTATATCATGGCAACACCAGGGCTCCCAGAAAACCCTGTGGAGCTGTTCTTCTATAGGGTGTGTTCTATAGGGTCACTATGAGTCAGACATGACTCAAGGGCACATAACTTCATCAGCTGAAAGGTTTGTAATTCCAGTCCACTCAGCAGTGCCATGGAAAAAGGTGGTCTGGTGATGTTTCTGTAAAGATTGCTGTTGCTGCAGCTAGGTGTTATCACATTGCGCTGTAGGATAAGCACCAGACTTATCCAGGTCAGTGGTTCAAACCCACCTGCTACACCTTGGAAATCCTATACAGGGTCCCTATATAGAACCGACTCAACAGCGCTTAACAACAACAACAACATACAACAGAATGAAACACTGCCCGGTCCTTTGTTCCTGTTGTCTGCACTTCAGACCAGCCTGCCCCTTCTTGGTCATCCCTACCTGCCATGGGCTAGGCCAACAAGTGCCCAGACAACTTATCCAAAGTCAGCCCATCTCGTCATTGCTCCACCACAACCTCAACACACACAAACCCAGACACTTAACTCATCTCGTTGCCCAAGTGGTCACCTCATGTGAGAATACTAGGCTGTCTCCTCACCAACCACCAGCTCCCTTTAACTTTCAGTCCTGGAAGAGGGCTTTTCTGAAGGGCTCAGCCAGCAATGTATCCTTTCACAAAGGGCTTATTTGAAATTCAAAAGAAAAGCAGTCATTTTTTCCCTTCCCTGAAGGTCTTGTTATTTCAGCGGTTCTGGGTGGCTCTGCAGGGCTTTTCATGCAAATTTCTTGAGTGGAAAGACTCTAGATGGGGCTGTGATTTTCAATCTCAGATCCTAGGACTCTATACACAGCGCTGCTATTAAGCTGCTATCCAGTCCATTTTGATTCATTATGACCCTGCCAGACAGAATACAACTATCCCAGAGGTAGTATAAAGGAGCCCTGGTAGCATAGTGGTTATGAATTGGACTGTGAACCGCAAGTTCAGCAGTTCAAAACTACCAGCTGTTCCACAGGAGAAAGATAAAGCTTTTGCTCCCGTAAAGATTTACAGCCTCAGAAACCCTGTACAGGGTCGCTGTTACAGGGTCACTGTGAGTCGGAACCGACTCCACGGCACATACCCACCAACCATAGGTAATATAAGCACTAAACTGTTAACCTCAATGTTGGTGCTTCAAACCCACCAGGTGCTCCTCAGAAACCCTATACAGGCGGTCACTATGAGTACTTAACTCTACAGTACTTAACAACAACATAGGGTTTCCAAGGCTGTAAATCTTTACAAAAGCAAGACTGCCATGGAGCAGCTAGTGGGTTAGAACTGCTGACTTCTCAGCTAACAGCCGAACACTTGAGCCATTGCGTCAGCAGGTCTCCTATATACAGTGCTATTTGAGTTCTGGAGTCCTGGTGTGGCGTTGTAGGATAAGCATTGGACTAAGCACAAGGTCAGCAGTTCAAACCCACCAACTGCTCCTCAGAAACCCTATACGTGGTCGCTATGACTCGATGGCATTTCACAACAACTACTGGATTGAAACAAACCACCTGTGTTTCTTTTAAGGAAATCCCCTTTTACCAAGTCTAATCAAACAGTGGCTGAAAACAGAGTAGTTATTTTTGTTCAGTGCTGGCAAGTCAGTTCCAACTCACAGCAATCCTGTGCACAACAGAACACAACACTGCCCGGTCCTGGGCCAGTCTCACAACCATTGTAGTGTCTGAGCCGATTGTTACAGAGCTGTTGTTAAGTACCATCAAGTCGGGTCTAACTCATAGCGACCAGGTATAGGGTTCTGAGGCTGTAAATCTTTGTGGGAAAAGAAAGCCTCATCTTTCTACCTCAGAGTGGCTGGTGGACTCAAACTGGTGACCTTGTGGTTCATAGTCCAGTATTTACCCTCCAGAACCACCATGCTCCATTCTTTATAATATTCAATGTTCATTCCCAGTGTCCGGGTAGACTGCTTTACAACACTAAGTAGAAGAAACATTCTGTTTCCAGCACATGTTTAAATAACACACGATCCTTTTAAAAACCTTCCAGTTTCATCTTTTTCCCCACGTCTTGTTCAGCTATCTTCCCATGCAGCCATATGCCATTGGGCCTCTGGCAGGGTAGACCCTGGTAATGGTGTGCCATGGAGTTGGTTCCAACTCACAGCGAGCCTGCATAGGGTTTCCGAAGCTATAAATCAAAACGCCTCATCTTTCTCCCATAGAACAGCTGGTAGTCTCGAACTGCTGCCCTTGAGGTTAGTAAGCACTACACTAGCCCCTATCAATCTTGTTTAACCAGCTGGGTTTGGGCCTGAGGCTACTCCACATTCAGTTTTTCTTCCCTCAGCCACATATTATTTCTTACCTTGACTTTCAGCCCAAGTAGCCACTTTGGAATCAAAGAATGTCATTTCCCTTGGTTTTGGTGTGCCCGTGAACCTGGAGCTACTGCAAGGAATCCCACATCTGCTGCCAACCACCGCCAAGAAACCCCTTGGAGCAGTTCCACTCGGTAACAGGTGGGGTCGCTGTGAGTCACAATGAACTCGATGATAATGGATTTGCTTTGTGACCTTTGGAAACAGATCACCAGGATTTTCTTTCAGGGGCCAATGGGTGGGTTTGAATCAGAAATCTTTTGGTTAGCAGCTGAGCTCTTAACTATTTACACCACATCTCTGTGAGCTAAAGCACTGGACCACAAGTTGGGTTTGAACCATAAGGTCGGCGGTTCAAACTCACCAGCTGCTCCTTGGAAACCCTATACAGGATTGCTATGAGTCAGAACTGACTGGACAGCACTTAACAACAACAAGGTCCTATGGGTTAATTTTAAGCCAATGGTTTCTTGACTTAAAAGGCTTCAGGAAGGTTCCGAAGGTTGAAGTTTTAAGAATGAGCTCAGCCCACCAGTGGAGACTTACCTGAGACCTGTCACACCCAGGAACCCACGCACAGATTAAACTTTAACGGAAGCAATGACTGAATTACTATTTCTTCCACAACTGTAATTCAGTAACATCACAAGGTTGTATCTTATTAAGACAAGTCGCCTTTATCTTTCACCCTGTGTGCTAAAGAAGCCAGATACAGTTCAGCCCACATGGCAGGACCCTGGTTTTTACTTGTATCATTGGGAGTTCAAACAGCCCAGGCACAGGGTGCGGGTGTCTGGGGGGTAGGTGGCTCCTGACCTTTGCTTCCTGGATGCCCTCCTCCCTTCCCTGGAGTATTGGGACATCCCAGGAGGTAGCTCTGGAAGTGGCTGTAGGAGGAGCTTTCTCTTAGCACTGCAGGCTGCCTGAAGACTGACCCCACCGGTTCTGGACAGCTGATTCCACCACTGTGCAGGCTGGCCAGCAAGCCAGGGCGGAGGTCTCGGCCCCAGGATCCTGCAGACTGTGTACACAGCCAACAGAGCCCGGCCAGGCCAGCACCCTGCCCATGGCATTCACCGAGCTCTTAGAGCTGGTAGGGAGCACGGGTGTCTTCCAGACCCTGCAGATCTTCACCCTCCTCCTCCCCTCCGTCTTGATACCTTCCCAACTGCTTCTGGAGAACTTCTCAGCTGCCATGCCAGACCATCGCTGCTGGACCCCCTTGCTGGACAACAGCTCCGAGGTGCCTGTGAACCTCTCCTTGAAGGCCCTGCTGACTGTCTCCATCCCGCCTGGCCCCCACCAAGGGCCCCACCAGTGTCTCCGCTTCCGTCACCCACAATGGCAGCTCCTGGGCCCCAATGCCACTACCACCAACTGGAGCAAGGCCGCCACGGAGCCCTGTGTGGACGGCTGGGTCTATGACCACAGCACCTTCACCTCCACCATCGTCAGTCAGGTGAGGATCTCTCTCCCCCGAAGTGCACAGCTCACCTTCCTCCCAACCTTGGGATGACAGCTCAACACAGTGGAGTCCAGCTGGCGTCATGGCTTACCAATACACACATACTGTGCTGTAGCTATGATGCACCGGGTCCCACTGGGGACTGGGGTTACAAGAGATGAACACCACCATCCACTGCTGACAAGTCGGTTCCAACTCATACCCACTCTATAGGACAGGGTAGAACCCAGACCGGGAAGCTTTAGGAGAGCAGACAGTTTCATCTCTCTTCTGTGGAGCAGCTGGTGGATTTGAACCCCTGACCTTGCAGTTAGCAGTCTAGTGCTTATCCTATAGTGCCACACCACAACTCCGATTCAGACTCATAGCAACCCTATATACGGATTGTGTTGTTAAGTACTGTCAAATCGGTTCCAACTCATAGCAACCCTGTACAGGGTTTCCAAGGAGCAGATAGTGGTTAGCAGTTCAGTGCTTATCCTGCAGCACCACACCAGGAATCTGTATACAGTTTGCAAGATTGTAAATCTTTACAGAAGCAGACAACCTCATCTTTCTCCTTTAGAATAGCTAGTGGGTTTGAACTGCCAACCTTATACTTAGCAGTCCAGTGCTTATCCTACATTACCACTTGGACTCCTTTAGAGTGAACAGGGAGCTTTTAAAGAGTTTACACTGTGATTCAGGCTCAGTCAACTTTAAACCAGTAATAGCAACAGAGGGAACCAGGCACGGTTTCAAATACTTTTCTTATTTCACAATAGACTAATCACAGTCTCATGAGGTGGGTATTCATAATCCCCTGGAAGCACAGAAAGGTTAAGTAACTCACCCCAGGACACACAGGTAAAATGTGAACGCATTCCATGTAGGTACTCAGCATGCAGCTGGGCTGTTCTTCACTCTGTTGTCTTGCATGAAGATCGAAGATCCTGAAAGAGCAAGAATGAAGCAGAACAGGTTTCTGTGCCCGGGGGAGATGGGGACAGGCTGGTGAGAAAGATGGAGAAATCACCCAGCCAGGACAAAGGGACAGCATAGGAACTAACAGATCTGTGTTGGAAGAAGTACAGCCAGAATGCTCCTTAGAAGCCAGGATGGCCAGACTTCATTCATCTCTCATACTTTGGACATATTATCTGGAGGGGCCGGTCCCTGGAGAATGTTTGGAGGGTCTGAGAAAAAGAGGAAGAACCCCAAGGAGATGGATTGGCACAGTGGCAGCAGTATTGGGCTCAGGCGTGGCAATGATTGTGAGGTTGGCCCAGGATCCGGAGGCATTTCAGTCAGTTGTGCACACGGTCACTATGAGCCGGTACCAACTTGATGGCACCTCACAACACAGACAAGCTCACCATTGTCCACTACTGCCCTTCACTGCTCCCCACTGCCCAGGCCATACACGATTAGCCACCCCTGCTCCCTATTACTCTACACCACTATCCATTGCCCACTATTACTAGACAGTCCCCCTCTCAGTGCCTACCAAACTTCTTTTTATGAAGAACTATTTTTGTTTCACCAATTTCCTGCTACTCCAGTTCCCTTTGTGTGTCTACACAGCAGGCTCCAGTTGGTGTTAGACGTAAGGTCGGGAGCAACCAGCAGATTCCCTTCTACCTCTGAGGTCTGGTACTAGGAAGCCGGGGCCCCACTGTCAGGGTCCAGACCCCCAAGACCCAGGCGGACCAGATAATCTTGCCTGAGCTCTCCTACCTCTGCCACCCACCTGATCACTCCCTCCTAAGCTGGTACCCCTTTCTCTTTCAGTGGAACCTGGTGTGTCAGTATGAGCACCTGAAACCCCTGGGTCAGTCCATCTACATGTCTGGAATTCTGCTCGGATCCACCCTGTGGGGCCTGCTGTCTGACCGGTGAGTGTCCCCTCCCATAAACCCTGCATGGTAGACCTAGGTGCAGATGGGCCCTGGGAGTCAGACACTCCCCGAGCTGAGCTGGCAGCTCCTGGGGTCTTAGCTGATGTGACTCAAAGGAACCTGGTACCTGAGTCAAGGCCTCCTGTGTCGTCGAGTCTTGCTTCCAATGTCCCATCAACCTTTACTGAGCACCTATTGTGTGCTCGGACTTGGAATCGATATAATGGCAGTTGGTGTGGTTTGAGTTTGGCAATCTTTATGGAAGCTCATAGCCACATCCGGCTGGTGGATTCCAAACAGTAGCCTGTTGGTTAGTAGCCAAGTGCCACGACAGGTCTCCTTCTTATGAAGATTACAGCTTAGGAAACCCTATGGTGTAGTTCTATGCATCATATGGGATCTGTATGGGTTAGAATCAACTCATCAGCACCTAACAACCTTGACCACAACCACGGCTCCATCTGGGTGTCTAGGAGACAACTGTTTCACTGCCAAAGCTCAGATGCAGATTCCCTTAGTTTTCCCACCCTACTCCCAGACCCTCCTCAATGCCCCAAACTCCCTCTGCCCCCAGAGTTCCCCTGCCACCCCAGACCCTTTCCAACCCCCTCTCTCCTCCCCACTGTCCTGTCCAAGCCATCATCTGCTGCAGGTGGATCTTAGGGACCAGGGCCTGAAGTCCTGTGGGGTAGGGCCTGGGGGTGGAGTGTGCACCATGCTGACAGGCCCTGCACCCCGCTCTGACTGCCTGCCGGCTGCAGATCCTCCCTAGCCACACTAGCTTCCTCCTGAGGCGACAGCCTCCTCCCCACATACTTGCCCCTGACCCTCTCCCCTGTACGCCAGCCCACAGAGCCTCAGTGGGGGCTGTCTCCCACCTGGAAGGTTTGCCCATTGCCCAACACTCTGGCCCATGTTGTTGTTGTCAAGTGCCGTCGAGTGGATTCCGACCCATAGCAACCCTGTATAGAGTTTCCGAGGAGCAGCTGGCAAACTTGAACCACCGACCTTGCAGTTCAAATGGCTTTGCAGTCTGGCGCATTAACCCATAGCACCACACCCTGACCCATGTTGTTGGGGTTGTTCCAACCCATAGCAACCCTGTACAGGGTTTCCAAGGCTGTAAATCTTTACAGGAGCAGAAAGCCTCATCTTTTTCCCATGGAACAGCTGGTAGTTTCGAACTGCTGACCTTGAGATTTGCAGTCCGATTCCTAATCACTACACTACCAGAGCTCCTTGCCCTGGCCCATAGCAGATGTTAATACATATTTAGTGAATGAGTGCAGGCGTTGGGGTCAAACCACGCAAATCAGTCGTAGCACATCCGAACTTCCTAGAGGGCAGGTTCCTTTGTTCTGTGCCTCAGTTTCCTTGTGTGATGGGCCCTCTGGTGCCTGCTCATGAGGCTTAGAGTCAGACGCCCGTGGGTTTTATAGTTCAAGCACTTTGAGGGGCCCCCAAAAGCTCTGAAAGGAGGAGCTGCCTGCACCATGGCTTTGGGGACCCCTAAGAGGGCAGACATCTTACCTTTGAGAAGGAGGCACTGCCTGTACCATGGCTTTGGGTGTGGCGCTGTGGGGTAATGCGTCAGACTGCAAAGCCATTTGAACTGCAAAGTCAGCAGTTCAAACTCACCAGCTGTTCCTTGGAAACCCTATACAGGGTCGCTATGGGTCAGAACCGACTCGATGGTATTTAACAACAGGAAGGTGGATGCCTTACCTCTGAGAAGGAGGAGCTAACTGCACCATGGTTTTGGGGGCCCCTAGAAAGGTGGATGTGTCCTGGTGTGGCGCTGTGGGCTCATGCACCAGACTGCAAAGGCATTTGAACCGCAACATTGGCAGTTCAAGCTCAACAGCTGCTCCTCAGAAACCCTATACAGGGTCGCTATGGGTCGGAATCGACTCAACGGCACTTCACAACAAGGAAGGTGGATACCTTACCTCCTCAGAGGCCCACCAAGCTTTCCTCCTGATGCAGGTTTGGGCGCACACCAACACTGAGCTGGTGCTGCCTGCAGGTCGCTGTCACTGGCACCAGCACCATCTTTGCCCCAAATTTCTTCGTCTACTGTGGCCTCCGGTTCCTGAGTGCCTTTGGGGTGGCCGGCATTATCATGACCTCTACTATACTCAGTGAGTGCTTCTGCCGTGGTGGGGGAGGGGGAGATGGGGACAGGGGCCTTACCAGCATGTGTGTGACTTTCAGTGGTAGAGTGGACCACGACACCCAGGAGGATGGTTGCCATGACAATACTGGGATGCTCCTACAGCACAGGCCAAATAGTCATGGGCGGCCTGGCCTTCGCCCTGCGGGACTGGCGGATTCTCCAGCTATCTGTCTCTGTGCCCTTCTTTGCCTTCTTCCTGGTTAGCTGGTTAGTACAGAACACGGGACTGTTTCCTTGGGGTGGTATCACAGGAGGAAAGGGAGTAGGGTGGGAGGCTGTCCCTGGCTGCCCAAGGGGCTGAAACATTGAGAGTTACGAAGGGAGAGAACATGGCAGCCGATGTCTGGGGTCCCTATGGAGCCAGGACAGGCCTTCATTGACTCAAATATTGGTAACAAGTAGTCAAACTTAAAATAAGAGATTTACATGTTAAAAAAAAACTACCCAAAAGAGAAAAATAGTATTTCTGCATTCTCTTGAGAATCTGGGAGACCCAGTGAGACTGGGCTGAACATGGGCTAGCCTTATACTGTACCAACTGCTGGGTCCCTTGTCCCCAGCCCCCACCCTCCATGTTCTCTGGGCCTCCCCACACTGCCCCCCATCCCAACCCTGCCCCAGCTGTGCATATCACATCTGCCAGTGTTGAGCAGCCCTCATTCCAAAACTCAGCACCATCGAGTGGGTTCTGACTCAAAGCAGAGGCTATAAATCTTTGCAGGTGCAGAAAGCCTCATCTTTCTCCCGCAGGGCAGCTGTTGGGTTTGAAGTGCCAACCTTAAGATTAGCAGTCTGGTGCTTAACTTGCAAGTCACCACGGCTCCTTTAAACAACAACAAGTAAGTGTAATGATGAAACATCTTCCTGCATACCTAGTGATCCTGCTTGTACAACATAGGTCCCTGGAGGCAGGACCTTCTTGTCTATTTTGTTTACTGATGCTTCCCTGATGCCTAAAACCACATCTGGCCTCGGCACACTGAGTACTTGGGAATGAATGAACGTGTTATCCTGCACGCCCCCAAAGAGGACTCCTCTGACCTAGGCCAAATCTGTTCTGGTTCAAGGGCACTTATGGGGACATTTGTTGGTGTCGCTTTCTTGTGTCTCTTCCTCCAGTTTCCACCCACACAGATATTTCCAGACTTCAGGGCTTTGGGGAGCATCACAGAGAATCCTGATCAGTGTGGGCTTGCATACCCTGGGCTGCACACCAGGACTCCACTGGGCTGCTAACTGCAAGGTCGGCAGTTCAAGCTGCAGGGACCTATGTTGTACAAACAAGATCAGTAGGTATGCAGGAAGAAGTCCCATCATTACACTTACTTCTTGTTGTTTAAAGGAGCCGTAGTGACATTGTAAGATAAGCACCAGACTGCTAACGGTGAGGTTGTCACTTGAAACCCACCAACCACTACTTTGGAGAAAGGTGAGGTTTTCTGCTCCTATAAAACCCTATACAGAATGGCTATCAGTCAGTATCTACTTAATGGCAATGGGATTTTGTGTGCATGTGTGGGGGGGTGGGGGGGTGGAGAGGGGAGGTCCACTATTATGAGGGAACCCTGGTGGCAAAGTGGAATAGTGTTGGATAGCTAACTGCAAGGTAGGTGGTTCAAATCCATCAGCCGCTCTTCAAGAGAACGATGCCACTGACTTCTCCTGTAACAATTTAGTCTTGGAAACTCGAAGAAGCCGCTCTGTGTCATGTAGGTTCCACTTGGAATCAAGTCAACAGCAGTGGCTTTGGTAACAATTATTGGGTGCCTACTGGGTGCTATTCACAGCATCAGGTGTATGCACTAACACATATTCTATTGAGGAACATGTTATTATCATTCCTGTTGGACAGACTTGGGAGCCGCCCCTGCCATCTGCCCCAGGGAGGCTGGCAAGAAGCAAGAGGGTTTTATAAAGCCACTTGGTTCTGCTTGGGATGTTTTCAATGTGCTTGTTTTCTCAAAGGCGGCACCATGTGGCCTTTCCATCACAGAAGTGGCCTCAGAATCACTGGAGGAATGGCCAGCTCTAGAGACACCTTGTAAGGAGCTTTGGTAGTGTAGTGGTTACGGGTTGTGCTGCAGACCTCAAGGTCAGCAGTTCGAAACTACCAGTGGTTCCGCAGGAGAAAGATGAGGCTTTCTGCTCCAGTAAAGATTTCCAGCCTTGGAAACCCTATGCAGGGTTGCTATGAGTCAGAATCAACTCCATGGCACATAACCACCACCAGGGACACCTTATGGTCAGGCAGCTTGATGCCCTGAATTGGAAGAAATTCAGGCAGGCAGGTTGGATGAAAGACTCAGGTAGGCAGGCTCCTGCAGCCAGGGAAGTAGCTGGGGAGTGGGGGGCGCACGGGGAAGAAGAAGGTGGTCAGGAGTTGGGACTCCTCTTTCAGGGACCATCTGGCCTCAGCCGGGCAGTAGGAGAGGCATCTGCCTTCTCTTTGATCCCACTAGAGTTGGAGGAGCCTCGGCCCACCACCTCCTCCTCATCTGGGAGGAGCTCACAAAGGGTGCCAAGCAAGCCAAGACCCAGCCAAGCACCTGCTTCTTTACCAGGTGGCTGCCGGAATCTGCCCGGTGGCTGATTATCGTGGGCAAACCAGACAAAGGCCTTCAGGAACTCAAAAAGGTGGCCAGGATCAATGGCCACAAAGAAGCCAAAAAGACACTGACCATCGAGGTGAGACATGTGCTATTTGTGCAGAATGTGGGACTGGATTCAGAAAGTGACGTGCACTGGTCTGGATTCTCTCCAACCTCGCCACTACCTATCCTGCCACCACCACCATCACCAGTACCTCCTATACCGCCATCAACAGCACCATCAACATCTCTGTAATACATCACCATCAACACCTCCCATACCACCGCCAACATCACCATCAACATCTCCACCACCATCAACACCTCCCATACCACCATCAACAGCATCATCAACATCTCCCATACCACCACCAACAGCATCATCAACATCTCCACCACCATCAACACCTCCCATACCACCACCAACATCACCATCAACATCTCCCATACCACCATCAACAGCATCATCAACATCTCCCATACCACCACCAACATCACCATCAGCATCTCTACAAAACACCATCAAGTATTTCCTATACCACCATCAACACCATCAGCATCTCTACAAATGCCATCAACACCTCCCATACTACCACCAACATCACCATGAACATCTCCACCACCATCAACAGCATCATCAACATCTCCACCACCATCACCACCACCATCAGCACCTCTCATATCACCATCAGCATCTCTGTAATACATCACCATCAACACCTCTCATACCACCACCAACATCACCATCAGCATCTTTACAAAACACCATCAAGCATTTCCTATACCACCATCAACACCACCATCAGCATCTCTACCAATGCCATCAACACCTCCCATACTACCACCAACATCACCGTGAACATCTCCCATACTACCACTATCACCACCACCATCAACACCTCCCATACCACCACCACCATCACCATCACCTGCATCACCATCATTACCGTCAACACCTCGCCCAGTACTATCATCTTCCTCTTACCACCTAGCACCACCTGCATCACTCTCACGATCAGCTCCATCAATAACGACACCATTAACCACCACCACCACCACCATCACCTCACATACTCACCATCCCCACCCAGTATATCACACACTCCTCAAGGGGTTTCCTCATGGGGAGAACAGAGCGTCCTTGTCTACAGGTAGTTATTTCAATGAAGCAGATGTCAATAGTCAGAGGACACAGAGCTCCCTGGGGACAAGAGGACAGGGGAAGGTTTCCAGGAAGAAGGAAGCTAGAGGGATCAGGACTGAGCTGAACTCAGTGCAAGGAAAGCCCACAAGCAGGGCAGTGCCCAGTCCTAAGGACACTTAGGGAGCTGAGACACAAGACCTCTGCTGGCCTTAGGCTAAGTGGACCAGGTCTGCAGCACAAAGCTTGGCGACTCCATCTAGGACTCCAGCCACCGAGGCTCAGCCTGAATACTGTTCCCTGACATGAGATGGGACAGGGGGAGAATGGGGCCATCAGCCCCTCTCACTGAACTTCCCCCCTCAGGTGCTGATGTCCAACATGCAGGAGGAGCTGGCTTCTGCCAAGACCCGCCAGTCTATGCTGGACCTGTTCCGCCTGCCCTTGCTTCGCTGGAGAACCTTAGCGCTGTTCATGGTGATGTAAGCCCTCTGAGATCGTCTCTATCACCAGGAGCAGAGTTGGGGGTCCAGTGGAGAGGTCTCTTGAGGAGTGTGGGGAGCAGCATCTACTGGACTCCCAGGGGCCATTTTTGGCTGAGACAGAAGGACCCCAGAAGGCGGGACTCCAAAGTAGGCAGGGGCTGTATGTACTCATGTGGTCAGAGAGCAGCTTTTTCAGGAAGACAGCTAGAGAGGTGGGGATAGGACAGACAGGGTCCCAGGCTCAGGCTGGAGTCGGCAGAGGGGACCAACAAGGGCTGACCTTGTCAGGGCTTACTCATTGTAGCAGCCACATGCACAGAGGGGCCACCATTGTGCTAGGCATTTTCACTTCTCACTGCAACTGCATGAAATAAGAATATTCATGGTGCCCATTTTACAGATGGAGAAATGGAGATTAAGTAATGTGCCCAAGATGATGATGCAGGCACTTGGACCCGGGCAGTGGGGTGAGGACTGTATTCTCGATCACCTGGTAGAATCACCTGTGAACCAGGCTCTGGTGAGGGCCAGCCCCAATACTGAATCACAGGTTCACCCCACTCCTCGGAACTGCATACATAAGGCCCTGCTTCAGCCCCAAAATCAACAAGGACCAGGAGAAGACCCCTTAAAACAAATTCAGTTCAGTTACTTCCATTGCTCTGAAACCGAAAGAACAGGATGGTGTCCAGATTCCATTACTGAACGTTTTGATCAAGGACTCACTAGACGGATCTTGATCAAAGGGAGGAAACTGTAGAACAGACTTCTAGAATCCACTGTGACTAAGGAAGCCTCCAAATCTATTGCCCTTAGATAATCTTTGAGCCTTGAACTGAAATTATTGCATGAAGTCATCATTAAACTAAGCATCCCAAAATCCAAATAGACTTGTTGCAAATTTATATAGGGTTTCCGAGTCTATAAAGCTTTACAGAAACAGTTAACCTCATCTTTCTCCCAAACAGTGGCTGGTGGGTTTGAACTGCTAACCTTGTGTTTAGCAGTCCTGTGCTTATTCTACAGCACCAACAGTTTATAGCTCAACTAGTAAAGAATGTTCGCCTTGAACAGTGTGCTTTTGAAAATGATCGATTATCTAGGAGTTCAAACTGACAACAGCCACTAAGAGAAATTTAGAAAACACAGACTCTAAGTTAATGGTGGGTTGTTTAGTTTAAAGATGACTTCATGTGATCATTTCAGTTCAAGGGTAGAGAGAGTGAGAATGATGATGCAATGAAAGGAATGAGCTAATGTCACTGAACTGTGCACATTAAAACTGTGGCATGGGTTGTTTTGTTATGTATACCTTTATACATAATCACTTTCAGGATACCAAAAAAAGTGAGGCTCTGGTTTGATTTAGGACGTCATCTTGAAATAAATCAAAAGATTTGTTGTTGCTAAGTGCTGTGAAGTCAGTTCCGAATCGTAGAGACCCTGTATAAGGTTTCCAAGGAGTGCCTAGTGAGTTTGAACCACCGACCTTACAGTTCAAGCAAACCTTGTGGTCCAAGGCTTATCATTCAGCGCCACACCGGGATTCCAAACCTAAAGGTTAGGGAAGTATTTATTTTTTGTTCTATATGACCACCAGTCATAAGGGAAAGTATTTGTTAAATCTTAGAACAATGAATGGATGAAATTCTCGCTCTCTTTTTTGATTCCTTAAAATTTTGGGAGCAAATTTGGAGGCATGCCAGGCTTTTTCTCTTTCCCTGGGGCCTGGGCGGCAGACTTTGTTATTCAAATCACGGCTTTGGAGGCTGCTAACCTTGTTGGGTTTCTTTCCTTTGGCTGTTTAACCCACTTGTTACCCTTCCGAGGTTCCAGAGCCTCACTAGGTAGCAGCTTTGAGTACATGGCTTGTTACTTTCATTAACTTCGTGAAACACTGTGGTTTCTGCAAGAACTGCCATTTTACTTTGCAGTTGCTTGGTCCTGGACTGTCAGATGTTTACTGGGGGCCATTCTGTGAGAGCTGGTCCAACTACAAGGGTGACAGTGAAGGCAGGAACTGGGCTGGGTGCCGGGTTAAGCAGAATCTCTTGTTAGAGTGGGGATGGTCTTTTTTTTTAATTTTTTTTTTTTTTTAATTTTAATTTTTTTGATTGTTGAGAATATAAACATGAGAATATACAGCAATGCAACAATTTCTACATAGACAGTTTAGTGACATTCTTCAGACTGTGTGACCATTCTCACCCTCCTTTCCTAAACAATTCCTCCCACCCACCCCCACCACCCACCCGCAACATAAATACACGGTCCCTAAGGTTCCTAGCGAATCTTCTGAGTTTCTGTTGTTAATTTCGCCCCATAGATAATTTTTAAAAGAGCCAGATGCTCAAGGCATGCATTATTTACTAATTAAGCTAAAATGTCCTGGTGTGGTGCTGTAGGACACATGCTAACCAACCGTAAGGTCGGTGGTTCAAACCCACTAGCTACTCCTTGGAAACCTTATACAGAGTCGTTATGAGTTGGAACTGACTCGATAATACTGAACAATAATAGCACCACTGTTTCATTTAAAGGAGAAGTAAAAGGGATAATTTTAATTTGAGGTTTAAGATGATCTCAGGACCACAATTTCAGGGGTTCGTCTAGCCGTGGTGGTTCCAGAAATTCTGGATGCTATGACACTTTGTAATGCTCTTCATCTTCTCCCTTTTGATCAGAATTCTTCAATAGAACCTGAGGAGGTGGGCTTTGAAAGTGTAGCCATTTGTGAATCTAGATTCAATCCCCATAGCAGCAGGAGCCTGTGGTAGCTGGGGTTTCCCAGGAAGTGGCACAGAGATGGAGACTGGGAAGGGCTCTCAGATGGAAGGAATCTGGATGGCCCAGCCCATCACAGCAAGGTCCAGCCACCCTGGGGAGCTCAGGAGCTGGGATGGCACTTCCGAGTCATACCCCTGGCCCATGGAGCTCAGTCACTGGACACCACCCTGGGGAAGACTATGCTCTGTCCCAAGAGGCTGGGAGAACCTGACTTTCCATCCGAAGTGGGATCTGGGCAGGGTGGCCCAATTCCCATACGGAGACCCCATGCTCCACATTGTCCAAGACCAAGCAGCAGACATCTAGGGAGGAACCGAGCTCTGCCCAGGTTCCTGGCTAGCAGAGCAGGGACCTGGCCATGGTTCTGGGTCTGAATGTGGGGGTCAGAACTGAAGGGGCAGATCCTGTTGTCCTTCTTTGAGGGCAGGCTGTATGCTGAACCCAAAAGGCTCGTATCTTCCGGTTGGTCAGCCAGATGTGGTCCTACCTCAAGGCCATGAGCAAATGGAGCAGAGACACGTCCTTCATTCGACAGGCTTCTTAGGGTGCGGGTTATGACCATTTCAGGGCCAGCTGTGCCCTGCCAGGACTGTCCTGGGGTGTGTGTTCCGTCTGTGCAGCTAGGACCACCTCCTGGCTCTGTCGCTCAGATTCTCCATTACGCTCTCCTACTACGGGCTGGTCCTGGACCTGCAGAACCTGGGTAGTGACATCTTCCTCCTCCAAGTCCTCTTCGGAGCCGTGGACCTTGTGGGCCGGGCCACCACACCCTTGTTGCTCAAGTTCTTCGGCCGTCGAGTAACCCTAGCCAGCACCAGCTCTTTGGCTGGTATCTCCATCTTGGCCAACGTGTTGGTGCCACAAGGTGAGGTCACAGCAGAGCAGTGAGGGCATGTGGGCTGGCCAAGTGGCCGCCAGGGATCCCGCTTCCCTGCCCACCCCTGCTGCCCCATGCAGGTGGGGTTTTGTAGCCACATTCTCTGGGCATCTTTCTGCCCTTGTCAATTCCTGTCATGAACTTTGCTGCATCATCTCAGGAGTCCCCACCCTTGTGCAGTCTCCAGCCCATTACTCTGGTGAGAACATTGAGGACCAGAGGGTGAGGAAAGGCGGCCAAGCTGCTTAGCTAGTATATGGGCCAGGGCTGAGGGTGGGGTGATGGGGCAAAGGGTTAAGAGCCAGCGGAAGAAGCTGTCAGGGAGGGAGAAGGGGTAAGGCTAGGGGCAGCAAAGGTGGCAAACAAGGAGACAGAAAAGGAGAGACACACAGAGAGAGACTGATAGAAACAGACGGAGAGTAACACAGAGAGAGACAGATAGAGAGAGACACAGACAGAGAGACACACACACATAGAGACACACACAGAGAGACAGAGAGACACACACAGAGACCAAGAGACACAGAGAGAGAGAGAGTTTCTTCTCTCTTGGCACCGAAGCAAGGGTACCATGTGCAGAGGGCAGCATGGTACAGGTTCCTCTCAGCATCCCAGGCTGGGGGTGGCATGGGGAGCCAGAGGATAGCAGAGGATGCCCAGTGACTACCCACAGAGCAGATGGGACTGAGAGAGGAGGGAAGATAGTGGTGTGAGCACAGACTCAAACATTTCTAGAACCTTCTTGAGGGAGCTGCTCTTGACAGTTTATAAAAACCCTTCACAACCATGGGAGGAGAGGAGGGACCTGCAGCCCAGGTATGATCAAAGTGACGTGGGCCTGGGCTTCTTGCCTCAGTCTCCCCCACCTACCCAGAGTTCCCCAAGAGAGTCCACCCAGTATTCCTCATACAAGGCCACAAAGGGCCCCCAATGAAAGTCTGCCCAGGATCCCCCATGAAAATCTACCCAAGCTCCCCCATGGAAGTCCATCCAACACCACCCCCTGAAATTTCACCCAGCATCCTCCAGGATCCCCCATGGAAGTCCACTCAGGGTCCCACATGGAAGTCCACCCAGGGTCCCCCATGGAAGTTCACCCAAGTTCCCACGCAAGTCCACCCAGCATCCCCATGAAAGCCTACCATGTTCCCTCCAGGCAGGCAGAGGAAAGGCTTCCTGACCCCTGTTCTCCTCAGGATCTCTGTGGAGGCCTGGAAAGGACAGACCACAATCATGACCCTCAGCTGCCCCTTGACCACCTACCAGAAACCTGAGCTTGTGACTGCCTGATGTTCCCCTCAGCCCCATGTCACTAGCTATGAATTCTAATTCTTTACTATGGCCCTTCCAGGGTGTGGGGTCAACCCTAGGAAGCCTTGCAGGAGAGCCCCCCACCCACTTGCTTCTCTCAGGCAGACCCCATGCTCACCCCCTCCTGCCCAGATCTGCAGACCCTGCGCCTGGTCTTCGCCGTGCTGGGAAAGGGATGCTTTGGGATAAGTTTAACCTGCTTCATGCTCTACAGGACGGAGCTCTTCCCAACTTCGCTGCGGTAGGCGGGGGCTGCAGGCCACGCCAGGAGGGTGCACCAGGCCTTGGGGTGGGGCAAGAAAGGGACAACTGGGAGGGTCAGTAGGGAGGGGAAGGGGGGTCAGGTGTCCAGGTGGGCAATGCAGAGCATGAAGGGGCCCAGTTACCCACCTGGAGCTGGACATACAGACAAACTCCATCTTTCTTCCCCCAGAGGTCCTCAAGAGTTCCTCATGAAGGATTCTGGGTATTTTCAGGGAAAAGGGCCCCCTGTATGGTGTGTGTGTGTGAGAGAGAGGGGAAGTTCCACAGAGGAAGACACATGAAAAGAGGTTTTGAGCCTCAGTTTCCCTCCCTGACATCCCCTAGCACACCCAAACTGCCCCTCCTCTGGGCAGTGTCAGCTATGTCTTTACCCACAGGATGACAGCAGATGGCGTCCTGCAATCGGCGGCTCGACTGGGGGCTGTGATGGGCCCCCTAATCAGGATGACCCGCCAGGCACTGCCCCTACTGCCCCCCCTCGCCTATGGTATCATCCCCATCGTTTCCAACCTCTTCCTGCTGCTCCTTCCAGAGACACAAGGACTTCCACTCCCAGACACACTTCACAACCTGGAGAGTCAGTGAGTGACCTGTGGCTGCCCTGGGAAGGGGGTTGGTCTTCCTCTTGGGCCAGGGTTACCAATGAGGGGGCAGGTGCACCCATGACCCTGGTGTAGACACCTAAGGGGTCAGGGAGACAACCTAGGCAGAGGACGCAGGAGCTGGACTGGGCTGCTCATCTTGCTAACTAGCAGCTAGAGTTTTGAGCACTCCGTTTCCAGCATCACAATGTGTGTTTCTGAAGCTAACTGATTATCATAGTTACTGAGTCAGGAGAGAGCTATCCCCATTTACCGATGGAAAAACTGAGGCTCACAGAGTAAAGGAACTTACCCAATGTGATCGTACCATAGGCAGGAAAATGGAATGGTTAAAAACATAGGCTCAGCAGCCAGATTGCCTAGGACTTAATTCCCTACCTACTTGGGTGAGTCACTTAACCGTTCTCACCAAAACTGACACAAGAGGATAGAAACAGCCTCCGAAGCCCTAGTTAAATCTTCCCACACAGAACCTCAGACTTCAACAGATTATCAAGTGTGTTCTTTCAAACTCTCAAAGATCAGATTGTTCCATTCTCACATACATTCTTTGAGAAAATAAAACGAGGGCATGCTCTCCAACTTCATTTGATGAAGCCAGGATAACTTCTCTAAGCTTTAGGTTCCTTCCTCCCTTTTATATTTATATATATGGAGTCTTGGTGTGACCCTGTAGGATAAGTGCTCGACCTCAAGGTTGGCTTTGAACTGCTGACCTTGAGATTAGCAGCCCAACTCATAAACACTATGCTATCAGAGCTCCTCCCATATATATATACTGCTGTTGTTATGTGCCATGGAGTCAGTTCCGACTCATAGTGACTCTGCACAGGGTTTCCAAGGCTGTAAATCTTTATGGGAGCAGAACACCACTGTTAAGTGCTATCAAGCTGGCCGTGACTCATGGAGACCTTGTATAGCTAGAAATGTCTGGTAGGTTTGAACCTCTGGCCTTGTGATTAGCAGTCCAGTGCTTATCTTACAGTGCCATATCAGAATATATATATATATATATATATATGCATGTTGTTGTGCTTAAATGAAATTGAGTCGGTTCTGACTCATAGCAACTCTGTATAGGGTTTCCAAGAAGCAACTGGTGGGTTTGAACCACCAACCTTGTAATTGGTAATCCAGTGCTTCTTCTACACCAGTCCCTATATAGGAGTCCGTATGCATTTATATACTTCATCGAGTCAATTGTAACTGATAGCAATAGAGTAGAAGTGCTTCACAGGATTTCTGAGACTGTAAGACTTTCCAGGAGCAAGCAGCCTTATGCTTCTCCTTGGAACAGCTGGTGAGTTTAACTTTGTAGTTAGCAGCCGAAAGTTTAACTCATAGTGCCACCAGGGATCCTATGAGGGGGCTTCATAAAGATCATGGAAAAGTTCATGATCTTTTAGTCCCGTTTTACTACGCGTCCCCTCCAGGTATATACCTGGAGTTCTAGTGTATCACTGTAGGAGAAGCTCTGCACTACTATCCACAAGATTAGTGGTTCAAACCCACCAGCCACTCCTTAAAAATGCCGTACAAGGTCACTCTGAGTTGAAAACAACTCCATGGCACCTAACAACAACAAGGGCGTAGACCTATAAGTAGATTGTTGTTGTGAAGTGCCGTTGAGTCGGTTCTGACCCGTAGCGACCCTGTATAGGGTTTCCGAGGAGCAGCTGGTGAGTTTGAACAACCGACCTTGCAGTTCAAATGGCTTTGCAGTCTGGCGCATTAACTCATAGCGCCACACCAGGACTCCACCTATAAGTATATATATATATATATATATATATATATATATATATATAATGTTGTTGTTGTTAAGTGCCTTGAGTTGGTTCTGATTATTCATGGCGACACTGTACAGGTTTTCCAAGGAGCAACCTTGTGGTTAGCAGTCCAGTGTTTATTCTACAGCACCACAACAGGACTCTATAAATATGTATATTTACCAATAAATACATAGGTATATACATCTCATTACCATCTACCTACTCATCGCGACATTGTATAGGGTTTCTGAGACTGCAAATCTTTATGGGAGCAGAGAATCTCATCTTTCTCCAGAGGAGTAGCTGGTGGGTTTGAACTTCCTACTTTGCAATGAGCAGTTCAGTGCTTATCCTACAGTACTACTAAGGGTCCATATATACCTATACATATATAGGTGTGTATTTACATAATTACATATATAATTGTTGGTAAGTGTGGTCTGACAGGTTCTGACTCATAGTAATGCTGCATAGGGTTTCCAAGGAGCAGCTGGTAGGTTTGAACTGCTGACCTTCTTGTGATTGTTGTCGGTGCCATCAAGTCAGTTCCTCTGCACAACAGAATGAAACAGCCCGCCCCTGTGCCAAACTCACAATCATTGTCACACTTGAGTTCATTGTACTCCATATATAATTATTGTTGTTGTTAAGTGCCGTTGAGTGGGTTCCAACCCATAGTGACCCTGTATGGGGTTTCCAAGGAGCAGCTGGTAAACTTGAACCGCCACCCACAGTCCAGCACCTTAACCCACAGCGTCACACCAGGACTCCTATATAATTATAGGCATTTTTCAAAAGATTTGAACTGCGGATCTTGTGGTTAGCAGCCCAACTCCTAATCCACTTCATTACCAGGACTCCTATAGGAGTAATGTTGTAGTTAAGTGCCATTGAGTCAGTTCCAACTCAGAGCAACCCGGTATAGTGTTCCCAAGAAGTGGCTGGTAGGTTTGAACCACTGACCTTGCTGTTCAAACCTACCTTACAGTCCAGTGCTTTATCCTACAGCACCACACCAAGACTCCATATAGTAATAGTTTAACAGGGACTATGATCATCTTTTTTCATGAATACAAGGTGCGGTTAAGATCCAGCTCTCTCTCAGGGCAATTGAAACACAGTGAGCTTGGCTGAGAAAACTTGGAAACTGGGAGTTACGGATTTCATTTATTAATACACACTAAGCACTGGACTGCGGTCTCGCTCGCCGACTGCCTCCGCAGGGGTTGGCTGGGACGGTGGGATGCAAAGGAGCTCTGGTAGCGTAGTGGTTACGAATCGCGCTGCGAACCTTAAGGTCAGCAGTTCGAAACTACCAGCTGCTCCGCGGGAGAAAGATGAGGCTTTCTACTCCCGTAAAGATTTACACCCTCGGAAACCCTGTACAGGGTCGCTATGGGTCGGAACCGACTCGACGGCGCTTAACAACAACAAACAACAAAGCACTGGACTGAGAACCACAAGGTGCACAGTTCGAGCCTGCCAGCAGCTCTGCGGAAACAAGATGAGGCTTTCTGCTCTCGCGATGATCACACACCTCGGAAACCCTATACAGGGTCCCTATGAGTCGGAAGTGACGCGACAGCACTTACTCCATAGTTTGGAGGCACTGCAGTAAATAAGCCTTCAGAAGCTTTGATACCACCCCACCCCAATTTTGCTATCCTAAAACCCCAAACCTCTAACAATTTCACCATGCATAGCTGCTGTCTTCTGATTCTTCTAGAACAAAATCTGAACCAGCTGGAGGCAAGCAACAGGCCAAACAGCAAGAGGCAGTCCAAGCAGAAAGCACCTGGCTATAGAAATGCTGCCCAACCTGGAGCGCTTCTGAGCAAACATCCCTGCGAAAGATACTGCCTGCCCTTCACTTAGGACGTAGAAGCTAGTTGGACCACCTCAAAAGTTTGGGGTGGCTCAGCGGACAACAAGGCCAACAGCTGCGCATGGAGATTGCTCTTGGCTTCCTCCTCGCCTCCTCACCTCCTGCTTGCCCTGCTGCGGATGAAAGCGCGTGCGCGGCCAGACGGCCCAGGGCAGTCGAATCCATGAAATGGCGCCTTTGGCCAGTGCTGAAGCTCCGTGCCTGTCCAGACTCTTATCTCTTAGATCCTATCAGCTCAAAAGCACAAGTCATGCTTGGTTTTTCGTTTGTCTTTCCCCCCCCATCTTTTACTTAACACATGATGGCACTATATGAAAATTACAACTGCATCTTCTAATGAAAATTGGCCTATGATGTGTTCAAAGTCATTTTTCTCCGTTCTCTTTCTGCGCTCTGCAGAACAGTGCCCGAGTGGTGGTGAGGGCAGTCTACACCCAAACCTCTGTCCCCAGAGCTGTGCCCCCTGGACAGGGACGTGCCTGCAGTCTCCAGCGGGAGACACTCCCAGTTACACCTTGCAGGAACGGAAGCTTTGGGCTTGGATGTAGTGGGGTGGAGCAGAGCGCAGAGAGGAGGGGGCATGGTCAGGCGGGCTGTGCGGTATCCCAAAGGGAAACACAGGAAGAGTGACAGGGACCCCTAAAGGGGCAGGAAGTAGGAAGTGAAGTACAATGCCTACATGCAGACTGGGGCTCTTATTATTGTGAGTGCCATTGAGTCGGTTCTGACCCATAGCAACCTTATATTTGGCAACAGAACAAAGCACCACCTGTTCCTCAGCCATCCTCCAACTGCTACTAAGCCTGAACCCACTGCTGTTGCCATTGTGCCAGTCCATATCTTTGGGGGTCTCCCTCACTTTCTTTGACTCTCCACTTTACCAAGCTTGAGGTCCTTCTCCAGGGACTGGTCCCTCCTGATAATATGTCTAAAGTATGAGAGATGAAGTCTGGACATTTGACTTCTAAGGCCTAAGATATCTATGTGTTTGCATTCCATTTCATTTTTCACTACTTCCAATTTTCTCCATCCATATTTGGTACATTCCATGTTCCAATGATTCAGACCAGGGCTAGCTAGATAGCAAGAAATCAGCTTTTCTACCTGCCGACTACCAGTTTCAGCCCCATCCAGTCGAGATTACTCAGACACCAGGCTGCACACATAAAGCGCTTTGGTGAGAGGAAAAAGTTAACAGAGCCGGTCTTGATCCGTTGTTGTTGTTGTTGTTAGGTGTCATAGAGTCGGTTCCCACTCATAGCGACACTATGTACAAGAGGAACTTGCTTGGGGTGGTACCATTCTCACAACGTTGTGTCTGAGATC